TGCTGCTGACGTTAGTTAAAATATGGTTTTTGCCAGTAATTGTTTTTTCAGTTTGTGGTCAGCTAGTTCCTGGAACACAAACATTCACACAAGATCAAAGGTATAGGTTCTTACAATACAGATCAAAGGTATAGGTTTTTACAATGCAGATCAAAGGTATGGGCTCTTACAATACTTGGGTTTGGGGACATTATTTTTTTTAAAAAATTTTCCTTTCAAAAGGACAGGCTTATCCTCCCCAGAAATAAAGTAATGGAGGAGGGCAAGTGCTACCGGGGTGAGGTCTGAGCCAATGAGATGTCATGGAGAGTTCAAAGTTTAGTGCGTGGTTCTTATTCCAGTCCACTGTTCTCTGGCTTCACTAATGCACTTTTTTTTTCTTTTCTTGTTGTGTACTCTTGAGTCAGATCCAACTGGCATAGGAGGAGATAGCCCCTCCTTCTCCAGCAGAGCATCTAGTGGATTCAAACTGCATGCCTTTGGGATTGCAGTGCAACTTCTTGCCATTAGGCCACCATGGCTCCCTTACTCATGCACTTTAAAAATCCTAATTATGTTGCTTCCAGGGTGGGCATCCTTTTCCACATGTCAGTTTCTGCTTCCTGATTCTGATGGTTCATGTTTTATCAGGCATTAATTTCAGCCTCCCTTATCTCATTGGTTTTGGTGGAGGTGAATGAAACTTTTGCTTCCCAACTCAAGTTGAGAAAAGCTTGAGTCTTGACCCAAGTAAAACCAATGTGAATAGAGGCACCATTGCTTTGGGGTACCAGTTGGGAGGATCTGGATCAAGAATTGTGGCTCACCTAGTTCATGAATTAAGGTGTTGAGGTGGAAAATACACCGTTGGATCAGCTTGCATTGGAGGGGGCCAAGGCTTTGTAGTCATCATTCAGAACACAGCCTGAGATGGGCAAGGTGTCTGCTCTGACCCCTCTTTCCTGCTTACCTGGTCTTGCCATGGTAAATGAGTGCTGTGGAAACTGGCCATGCTTCACCACTGCAACTGTGATTGATTCTGATCAAAGAGATCAAAGTGGTAATATGTTTTTATTATGAATGATAGCCCATAATACTAAGCCAGAAGTAAGTTCTTTCCAATCTGCCCTAGTCGAATAGGACATATTTCTGAACTCAAATCCAAACATAGGCCTTAAAAGAAATTATATCCTTGCCAAATAACCTTACTTTTGCTTTATATAGTATGACTGCAAGGAAAGAAAATAAACATTGCCATAACTTAAAAAAAAAAATAATTATGGTCAGGGGGCACACCAACCTGTGCATCTTTCTCCTAAAGCAGTGATGTGTGCAACTGATTCCAACTCGATGTTATAAGACCGGGTATAAGTACTCCGTGTGGATAACAAGGCTTTTATCTTTATGGCAGGAGGACACCAAGTCTAGTTTGAACCACTGACCTGTTAAGAGGAGAGCGCTTAACCATTGAGCTACCTGGGGGACTCTTCTAAGGCAAAAACCAAAAAAGTACACTGTCCCCAGAGTTGGAACTGATTCATAGCTGATCAACCAGCAGGTTCTGTTGTTCTTAGGTGCTATCAGGTGAAGTACTACTCATAGCGACTCTGAAAAATAGAGCTGAACTCTGTTGTATCTTGCGCCATCCTCACAATGTCTGGCACACTCAAGGGCCCATTGCTACAGCCACTGAGTCAATCCTCTCTGTGGTTCACTCTCCTCCTTTCCAAGCATTATGTCCATCTCCAATGAATAACGCATAAGTACATGACACAAAGCTTTATCATTTTTGCTTCCAAGTAGTATTCTGGCTGCACCTTCACCAAGACATATATAAACTCTGTTCTTTTGGCAGTTTATGGGATATTCAGAACTTCTCCAACACCACAGCTCACCTGTGGCATCAATTCTCCTATTATTTCTATTCATTGTCCAGCTCTCAGATGCATAGCAAGTGACTGAAAACACCATTGCCTGAATCAGGCACACCTTAGTCCTCAAACTAGCATCACTGCTCTTCAATCAGGCTGAATTGATAATTAGTGACTGGAATGCTAAAGTTGGGAACAAAGAAGTAAGAGTAGTTGGAAAGTATAGACTTGGTGACAGAAATGAAGCGGGAAACACAGTGATCTATTTTTGTACAATCAATGACTTATGTCTATGAGTCACCTATGACTCAATGGCACTTAACAACACAGAGAGAGAACAGTTTTGGCCTAGTGGAGACTGAAAGCGATGCTACCAAGTCAAAGGTGGGTGACTCTAATCCGCGGCCCTAAGGCCTGTTTTTGTTTTTGCTCAAACTGTCTTCTAGGTTGTATAGCCCTGGCGTGTCGTGTCCACTTGCCTTACAGAGGTAACCAGTGGTGGCTGTGAAGCTGAACACTGTGACACTGATGTGTCAAATGCGATAAACGGTTACCTATGGTGGACAGTGTTTGGTGGCGCTCCCCGGTTGAAACAAGCTTGGAAGCAGGAGTGGCATCCACTTCTGTAAATGGCTTGCCTCCGGAAACCCTGTGAACCTGGAGAAAGGATGGAAGTCACGCACGCAAGTGTCAAGGACTTTCATTCATAGCGTCACTATCAGTCGCCTACCACTCGATGGCACTTAACAGCAACAACAATGACTTATTCATTTGATGTTGTTGTTGCAAATACTTTTTTTAAAAACACCAACTGGTGACTTTGCCCACAGACCTCACCAGATTAACGGCATAAGAATCTCACTGACCACATCTGCGGAAGGAATCCAAGGAAATGACCTCCTGCGGCATTCATGGGGCTGTACATCCCACACCACATCTTTGCCCCTTAGGAGGCGCTGGTGGGTTAACAGAAACCCCTAGTCACCGACAGCGTTAAAGCCCTGGGACCAATCCCGAGGCCACAGCTCGGGGTGGCTCCTCCTCCGGAAGTGATTGTTTGACCTCCCGCCCCCCCCCCAGGCTTCCTGCTCTTCCGGCCGCGCATGCGAGCTGTCAGTGCTGAGCGGCATGTCTGCCCCAGAGGTCGGCTTCGAGCACATGGGGCTCGACCCCCGGCTCCTCCAGGTACGGGCTCAAGGGGCAGGCATTGGGCTGGCGTGGGGTTTCCGCGGAGCCCTCCACGCTGCGGGAGCATCATTTTTCCTGTTTATTGGTCTCCTTGTCTCTCTTAGGCCGTCACGGATCTGGGCTGGTCGCGACCTACACTGATCCAGGAAAAGGCCATTCCGCTGGCCCTGGAGGGGAAAGACCTGCTGGCCCGAGCCCGCACGGGTTCGGGAAAGACAGCCGCTTATGCTATTCCGATGCTGCAGCTGCTACTCCATAGAAAGGAGGTGGGTAAGGGGAAGGTGGTAGTTGTGTCAGAACCGACCCACAGCACTCTGCGTAAGTTTTTCAGAGGCAGTAAATCGCACGGAGAAGACTGCCATCCTCTTCTGTGGAGTGGCTGATGCACTCAAATCATGTAGTTTTGGATTGGTAGTGAGGTTCCTTAGCCCTGAGCCACCACAGCTCCCGGAAGGGGAAAATTGTTCCTCCTGTGGAGTAGGAACCACCCCTAGGAGACAGGCTAGGAAATGTTGTGAAGGAAGAGGTAGCAGTCCAAAGTCCCCATTTCAGCTTCCTTGGCAAGCCCCTTTCCTCCCACTGTTTTTGGCTGTAATTCAGGTTAACTTGGCCCTGTGACCATCTTTCTTTCTGAAATCTTAATAAAGTTATTCTTTGTCTGTTTTCTAGAAAGGAGGCACATCTCTCCTTTTTATTTACTAGAATTATTCTAAATTTCAAGCTTCGTGACTGGTATGGTACATTTTAAGTAGTTTCATAACCATAGAGTAAAAACTCAGCTTCGTTGCTGTAGAGTCAGAACTGACTCATAGCTGACCCACGGGTTTTCAGAGGCTGTAAATATCATGGGAAGAGATCACCTATCTTTCTCCCGCAGAGTTGCTGGTGAACCACCTGTACATCATTCACTGCCTTTTGGGATAGCAACACAATTCCCTACATATTGTACTACCAGAGCTGTAGGGTGGGATCCTGGGGAAGGATTCCTTTTCTTTACATTCTAAGGTGGGTTAGATGTGTTCAGGGGCTGATGAAAACATAACTACGATGCTGTGGGTGGCTCAGATTGATATTAAGGAGGAGAAACATCAGATGGCCACTGTAACTTGAACCAGCTGGTAAGTCTTTCATTCGTCTTGCAGACAGGCCCTGTGATAGAACAGGCTGTGAGAGGCCTGGTTCTTGTGCCCACCAAGGAGCTGGCAAGGCAGGCACAGACCATGATTCAGCAACTGGCGACCTACTGCACTCATGATATCCGGGTGGCAGATGTGTCAGCTGTGGAAGACTCGGCCTCTCAGAGGTGGGTGAGTGCAGCAGGGCTATCAGGGCTTCACTAAGTGCCTCTATATACGGACTTGGGTCTTTGTGCAACAAGAGAAAGGGCTAATGTTGGGTGAGATTACAGCATTGCATCTCCTTGCACTCTCTTCCCCTGATAATCATGCCTTGCTTGTTGTCAGAGCTGTGCTGATGGAGAAACCAGATGTAGTGGTGGGGACACCATCCCGAGTGTTGAGTCATGTGCAGCAAGACAACTTAAAATTGCGTGACTCACTGGAGCTGCTGGTGATGGATGAAGCGGATCTTCTTTTTTCCTTTGGCTTTGAGGAAGAACTCAAGAATCTTCTGTGGTAAGAAAAGGTGTAAGAACCTATGAATAGATCGTTGAGCTTGCTAGCTGAAAATTTATGATAGCCACCACAGGTGGAGACTCTGGGACAGGGATTTTACTAGACTCTGTTCTTTTCCAGTCACTTGCCTCAGATTTACCAAGCTTTTCTTATGTCGGCGACTTTCAATGAGGATGTACAAGCACTCAAGGAACTTGTGCTACACAACCCGGTAAGGCTTATTGCTGGGGTGTCTGGAGCTGCAGAGGTGATATTCTAAAGATATTGCCCTCTAAAAGGAGCACTAGTGATATTTGGGTAGGACACCTGTTACCTGGTTCCAAGGTAGCAAAATGCCATCTCACATCCCTATATATATCTCCAGGTGTCCCCTTTGGGCATTTCTCAATTAAAATTATGCTTTTGTTAAAAAGTTGAACAGAGACTCCCTAAAAGGCAGCAAAGCCCAAAATCAGAATTCTTGCCTTTTATGAATTTTTCCTTTCATCAGGAGGAATGAGGTTTGATGGTCTTCTTGGAGTATTTAAGTGGTATGCTGTTGTATGCTATGCTGGTAGTATTTGTTAATACTACTGCTTTGGCTACTGAGGAGTATCCTGAAGCATGAGTATCTAGCAGAATGGTATTAGGAAGCATGGTGTTTGGTGTTTTGGTAGAGGTAATAGTTGTGGTTTGATTGCTTGGTCAGTTTGACCACATATTTGAGGTATTGACTTTAAGTGGAATGAAGGGTGGTTTGGTTGATGGTGGTATAAGTGGAGGTTTAATTCTAGAAGATTATGTTGGGAGTTTCTTTATATGAAATTATTATGGGAGCTGAATACTAATTATTGGATGAGTTTTGTTAGTATTTTTATTGTTATTAAGATTACTTGGGGTTTTAGAGGATAGGAGGGTTCCTGAAATTAGTGTGATGAGGAAGGAGAAGAAATACAGTTTGATTACTCCTTTTTGATTAGATAGATTGATTGAAGCTATTTTTTTTTTTTGATGGTTAAGATGCTTTTGGGGATAATATTATCTAATCATAATTGGTCTATGATGGTGGAGGCTAGGTTGAGCCTTGTGTAGCTGGGTGAGTGGTGATTGGTAGCTGGGAAAAATCCCAAGAGGTTTGAAAATTTGTGGGTGCTGGAAGGTGGATTTATTTTCAGGTTTAGGGTGAAGGAGTTTAGGTGAAGCCTAATGAAGTTATGAACATTGCTATGAATTTCAGATGCATGGGTATAGTAAGTTGGGGGGTTGAGATTAGATAGCCTGTGAAGATGTTTCGTAGTGCTGAGGGTTTAATAGGCTTAACTAGGTTGGGATTATTCTTATTGATAAAAATTAGTGCAGGTGACATGGTTGACCTAGAAGGATGAAGAAAATGATGCATGTACTCTAGATGGCTGTTATGGATGTTGCTACTAGGATTATTATGATGGCTCAGGTGTTGGCATGGGATGGGTTGGCGGTTTCGATGATTAGGCCTTTTGAGTAGAAGCCGTAAGGAAAGGTCTAGCTGTGAGGGCTAAGCTGCTGATAGTCAGGGCAGAGGTTGTGAATGGCAGAGATTTGAATAGGCTGCCTATTTTACAGATGTCTTGTTCATCGTTGAGGCTGTGAATGATAGATCTAGAGCATAAGAATAGTATTACTTTGAAAAATGCATGGGTACAGATGTAGGAATTTTAGATGCTGTTAGTTAATGTTGATGGTGACTGCTATTGGTTAGAAGTTTAGAATGCAATAATTTTTTTAATGTCATTTTATTTTTGTTAAAGAGGGTAAAAACTGATCAGGAGGAAGATTCCAGCCACTACTATGGTACTGGAGTGTAGTAGGGTGGATATAGGAGTGGGAACTTCTTTGGCTGAAGGGAGTCATGGATGGAGCTCAAATTCAGCTGCTTTTCCTGTTGCTGCTAGTAGGACCCCTAGAAGGGGGATTAGGTTATTGCTGTTTGGGTAAAGGAAAATTTATTGCAGAAAAGCATAAATCAGGCTATTGATAGGACAAACCTAGTGTCTCCAATTCGGTTGTATAGTATGGCTTAGAGGCCTGTGGTGTTTGCGTCAGCTTGTCCATGTCATCATCCGATTAGGAGAAATGATATAATGCCTACGCCTTCTCAGCCAATGAAGAGTAGGAGGAGGTTGTTAGCTGAAATGAAGATTATTATGGTAACTAAGAATAAGAGTGGATATTTTAGGAATCGGTTGATTTTAGGGTCTGAGTGTATGTATCATAGTGAGAATACTGTAATGGACCATGTGACAAATAGAACTACTGGGATGAATATGAGTGAGAAGTAGTTTAAAACTTAATGATAGTTTAAATGATTGAATTGTTATTCAGTGTCAGTTGGAGATTATGGATTCCTGATTGGGGTATATAAATATTATGGTTGATATTATGCTTGTTAGAAATGCATATTGAATAGATGTTTTGATATAACAAGGGTAAGATGGGGTTTTGTAAATTTGGATAAAAGATATAATAATAGGCGTGAGTAAAATAGTTAAACATTATATATTAATTTTATTTGGGGTTGCACCAGTTTTTTGGTTCCTAAGACCAATGGCTAACTTCCATCCTTTAAAAGTTGGGAAAGCCATGGGTTTGGATATGGGGTGAAGAATTAGAAGCTCTTCTTCCTTTCTTGGCGTATAAGAAGATTTATACTTCTATTTCTAGGTTTGCAGTCTAGTGTTTTGTGTTAAACTATATTCACAGTATGTTGTACCTAAAGTGATTATGGGGTTTAATGATTGAAGAAGGGCAATGAGGGCATTTTCTTGAGTAAAGGATGGCTTAATAACTAGAGTGTGGCCTATAATTTTACCTCGTTGAGTTATTATTAATATGTAGAGGGAATATTTGAATGTAGTTAATATATTTAGACCTGGTAGGAGGATCATAAGAAAGAGGCTGTGGAATGTGGTAGGGCTAGGTGAGCCAGGCTTCATCAGGTTGTTATCAAGGGAGGATGGTTTGGAGTCCTCAGGCAAGAATTATGGTCCAGCTGTGTATATTTTCATAGTCTGAGTTGGCAAGGCAGAATATGACAGGTAATGTGAGACCATGGACAATTATTAAGTAGGTTGCGCCTATAAAGCTTCATGGGGTTTGGATTATGATGGCCAGGATGACCATAGTTATGTGGCTGACTGATGAATATATAGTTAAGGATTTTAGATCACTTTGGCAAAGTCAAATGGAAATTGTTACGATTATGCCCGAGAGGGAAAGTTTAATGAAGGGGTAGGTTATAGTTTTAGTAATAGACTCCAAGATGATGGTTGGTTGTATTATTCTGTAAGCCCCCTAGTTTAAGTAGAATGTCTGTGAGAACTATAAAACCTACAATGGGAGCTTCTATATGGACTTTTGGTAACCCATAGGGAGGCATTTTAACTATGAAGATGCTGTGCTGCATGCTAGTCAAAGGAAATTTGAGGACCAGTGGTTTTGCTCAGTATTGTATAATATTAAGGGAATCTAAGGAGTTTTGGATAGAGATTAGGGCCACTAGTAATGGGAGTGAGCCAACTAAAGTGTAAAATAGGAAGTAGACACCTGCATTTAGGTGTTTAGTTTTCTTACGTCAATGTGTAATGATAGTTAGGGTGGGAATAAATGTAGCTTCAAATATGTTGTTGTTGTTATGTGCCTTCGAGTCGTTTGCAACTCATAGCGACGCTATGTACAACAGCCCTAAACCCTGCTCTATCCTGTGCCAATTGCATTGCCTCTGACACACCCATCCCGATTACCCCAGTCACTGAATCAGTCCACCTCATAGAGGGTCTTCCCCTCCTGCGCTGTCCCTCTACTCTACCCAGCATGATGTCCCTCTCCAAAGACCTGTCTCTCCTTGCAACATGTACAAAGTATGTCAGACGAAGCCCCAGAATCTTTGCCTCCAAGGAGCAGCCTGGTTTAACCCTCTCTAGGATGAATCTGTTTGTTAGAAAAAGATAAGTTTGGATGAAGAAAAGATTATGATGAGGAGAAATTGAAGTAGTACTATTATTGAGATATGCTTTTTATTTGGATGTAGAGTTCAGGTGTTAGATGATGTTGGCTGGCTGTAAGCATAATTGGAAGAAGTCAGGTAGTTAAGATTAGAAGAGATGCTGATAGGGAATCGGAGAAGAATAAAATGGAATGGCTGGTGAAAGATTCTGATGATAAAGTAAAAAGGAATAGGGCTGATAATGAAGTTTTTGAGGGAGTGTTGTTTCAAATTAGTGAGTTTTTGATAGTCATGTAAGGGGGAGTAGTATAATAGTGGGGAGGATGATTTTTAACATTGTAGTATCCAGTTCATAGGTATTTGATATATAATATCAAATTATAAACCAAATTATCAAGTTATAAACCAGGAGAGATAGGCCAATAGCGACTTTGCAACCTGCAAATACTAGGAGAATAATAGGTATTATGGTGGTTGTTGTTATTGTTATGTGCCATCGAGTCACTTGCGACTCAAAGCGACCCTATGTACAACAGCTCTAAACTCTGTCCTGTGCCAATCTCATTGTCTCTGACACACTCATCCTTATTGCCCCAGTCACCGAATCAATCCATCTCCCAGAGGGCCTTCCCTTCCTGTGCCTGCCCTCCACCCTCCCAAGCATGATGTCCTTCTCCAACATGGTCTCTCCTTACAACATGACCAAAGTATGTCAGACGAGGCCTCAGAATCCTTGCCTCCAAGGATCAGCCTGGTTTAACCCTCTCCAGGATGATCTTAGCATTCCATGGTACCCTCAACACTCTTCTCCAACACCAGAGCTCAAAAGCATCAATTCTCCTTCTATCCTCCCTGGTCATTGTCTAGCTCTCTGACACATAACAAGTGATTGCAAAGACCATGGCCTCTACCAGATGCACCTTAGTCTCCAGAGACACACAGTTGCTCTTCACTACGTTAGAGAGGTCCCTAACAGCAGACTTTCCCATTGCAATACGTCTTTTAATTTCCTGGCTGCTAGGTATTATGGTTAGGAGAGCAAAATTTATTTACAGACCTAATGTAGTTCTGAGGATAAATAAAGTATTATCCCCTCCAGGCATAGTATGGAGGATATAATGTGAGAGTGGTATATTAGGAGGCCAGTAAGGGAGATGAAAAATGCCAGTACAACATTTAGGTGAATAGGTGACATAGTTGGTAATTATGAAGTAGTCATAATTTAATGAGTTGAAATAATTTGTTTTGATTAGACTAATTACTAAATCAATTCATTCTAACCCCTTGTGTAATCATTCATATGCTAGGCCTAGGGCTAGGAGAATGATGAGTAGAAGGGCCATTAAGAGTATATCAGTTTTGGGGGCTCTGGTGGCCTAGTGGTAAGAAGCTTCATTGCAATTCCAGAGGTGTGCGGTTCAAATCCACCAGATGCTGTGCTGGAGAAGGAGGGACAATCTATTCCTGTACCAGTCAGAGCTGATTTGATGGCAGGCACACACACGCACACACACAAAGAGTGTATCAGTTTTACATTAGTAATTTGGATAGCTCATGGGAGGGTTAGGAGAAGGACAATTTCTTGGTCGAAAAGAAGAAAAGTGATAACTACTAGAAAGAATTTTATTGAAAAGTAGACGAGCTGAGCCTATTGGCTCAAAATCACATGCATAAGGAGTTGATTTTTCCATCTAAATATTAAGTTGGAGGAATCAAAATGCAATTACTACTAGGAGTGAAGCAAGTAGGAGATTAATAGATAATGTAAGGATTAGGTTAATTACTCTTTTTTCAGATGGGAGCTGAAACTTGCTGATAGGAAGTCAGCTGTACTAATTAATACTAAAAGAGTAAAATCCTCATCATTAGATAGAGACGTACAAGAAGAGTCAAACTACCTCAATGAAATGCTGCTTAGAAACCAAAGTGGTGGTTTGATGTAAAATGGAATTTGAGTTGATGGATAAAGCATACAGTTAAAAAGGTTGAGCCACTGACAGCCAAGCAGATATATGCACACCCATGTTTATTGCGGCTTTGTTCACAATAGCAAGGAGTTGGAAACAACCTAAGTGCCCATCAGCAAAAGAATGGATAGAGAAGCTGTGGTATATTCACACAGTGGCATATGTGCTGTATTGAAAAACAAGGAACTCATGCAATATTACTCAAAATGGGTGACTCGGAGGACATTATGCTGAGTGAAATATCTCAGTCACAAGAGGACAAATACTGCATGGTGCCACTGTTGTAAAACAGGACTGACCTTGGGGTTGGGAAGAGACTGAGAAAGATGGGTTGAATAATGTATACTGCATTGAAACATCAGCCTCATTGCCCTATTCTTTATTTTATCATCAGAATCTTTTACCAGCCATTCCATTTTATTCTTCTCCAATCCCCTATCAGCATCTCTTCTAATCTTAATTACCTGACTTCTTCCACTTATGCTTACAGCCAGCCAACGTCATCTAACACCTAAGCCCTACATCCATTGAAAAGGGAGAAAACTTTATAAAAGGGATATGTCATTAGGTATTTTTGTCATGACAAGAGTCTAGAACAAAGGCTACATGATGGAGTGGACCTGGGGAGGGGTTTGTAAAACAATGAAATAATTTGTTGTTTACTTTTCCAAGAGTGTAGTGTACTAGGGGGGAGGGTTGGGAGGGGAGAAAAGTGCAACATTGAATGAATGGAAATCCAAAGTCTCTGTAAATTTTTACTGAAATTAATAATAAATTTTAAAAAAGAAAGGTTGAGCCAATAATTTCGTGTAGACTGTGGAATACCTGTGACTATGAAGAATGTAGAGCCATAAACTCCATCTGAAAGGATGATTTGTAGTATTCAGATATTTGTAGAAGGGTGAAATAGACTTCTAATAGGATTTTAATGAGTAGGGCTTGTCTAGCATGGGCTAGATTACCTGCTAAGGGTAGGTAAACTATTTAGCTGGTTCCTGCACCTGCTATAGATGAGGCTAAAAGGAGAAGAAACGTCAAAAGCTCATACTGTTTATTCATGGGAAGGCTATGTTGGAGGCTCCAGTTATAAGTGGTACTAGTTCCCAAAGCCTCCAATTATGATAGGCATAACTATAAAGAAGATTATTATGAAAGTGTGGGCTGTAATAACATTGTCAATTTGGCTCTGGGCTGACCAAGTTCATCTCATTCCTTGTCAGTATAGTAATTTATTGATGTGTTACTTTTTGCTTCAGCTTCAATGTCAAATAGTTTATGGATGGTTTTAGTTATGGTCCTCGGTTATGCTATAGGCTGAACCCTAAGTTGCATCCGAAAGGTCATCTGTTTATGTACCATCGAATCAGATCCAACTGGCACAAGAGGAGATTTCCCCTCCTTCTCTAGCGGAGCATCTGGTGGATTTGAACCATGTGCCTTCAGGATTGCAGCTCAAAGATCATCTGTTTGAAGACACCGGCTACTGCAGGAGAAAGATGAGGCCATCATCTCCCATGGAGAAGCCAGTGAGATAGTTCTTTGCCAGGCATCTAAATCAACTCAGCAGCTGTATGTTTGGATTTTGGATGTATTAGCTTTGTATCTTCTTTATATCACAAGTAGTTCAGCATTTGATTACTGGCCAAAAGGTTGGCACTTTCAAACTCACTTAGGATGCCTTAGAGACAGGCCTGATCTACTTCCTAAGTTCACAGATTAGGAACAAACCTCGTGGTGCCACATCTACTGGATGCACAAGATGTCATGACTCAAGATAACTTCACAGCAAACCCTATGGGGCAGGACCACTGGATTTACAGGACCAGGACATCATGCATCAGGATAGCTTCACAGTGAATTATGTGGGGCAAGGCCACTGGATGGACAGGACCTGACAGCAGCTAGCCACATGGCAGCATGGTTGACTACAGATTTCAGAGTGGGCAGGGGGCTTATGGTGCCTGTGATCCATACAAGCACCTTTGCCATGCATGAAAATGTGTTCACACTTGGTTGTGGAGCTAGCAGCTTGCATCAGCATTTCTGTCTCTCTCTCTTTCTTGACTGTTGGTCTGCCTTCTCCCTAGGTTACCCTCAAGTTGCATGAGACTCAGCTGCCAGGGCCAGACCAGCTTCAACAGTTTCAGGTGGTTTGTGAGACCGAGGAGGACAAGTTTCTCTTGCTGTATGCCCTGCTCAAGTTGTCATTAATCCAGGGCAAGTCACTCCTGTTTGTCAACACACTGGAGCGGAGCTACCGGCTCCGTCTGTTCCTTGAACAGTTCAGCATCCCTGCCTGTGTGCTCAATGCGGAGCTCCCACTGCGCTCCAGGTTTGCTATTTCCGCTGTCTCTGTTAACATAAAAGAGAAAGAAACAAAAGAAGGGCTGGTAGGGAGACTTAGCTGTTTTCTTTCTTAAGCCCTTGGTATGGCCAGACAATGACCTTGAATGCATTAGTTACCTTCTCACAGGTTAGAGGCCAGTGTAGGATGTTAGCGCCCTGAGGTAAAGGTGGGAAGAGAAGAAAGTAGTAAAAGATGGTGGTTTTGGTGGTGATGTGGAGGGGACAACAGGGCTTCCCTTTGCCTGGAGAACTCTGTGGACTTACTCTTCCACTGGGGCACAGGTGCCACATCATCTCACAGTTCAACCAGGGCTTCTACGACTGTGTCATAGCAACTGATGCTGAAGTCTTGGGGGCCCCCACCAAGAGCAAACGTCGGAGCAAAGGAATCAAAGGAGACAGGTAACACCATGTCTTATTCTCCTAGCTCAACCATGAAAGACCCTAGATGTTCTAGCTGGCCACTTATTAAAGGAAGTAGAGCATGTCACGTGCTTTGGACAGCATGGCCTCAAGCCTGCCTTCCTGGCTATGCTATGAGAGAGGACATACCTGGAATGCACTGGGCTTGGTCTGTTTAAGGAGGTGACTTTGCTTATGCCCGGAAGGATGGCTGATGTTGGATTGTCTCCCCAGGGCTTCTCATCTTGAGGCTGGTGTGGCCCGGGGTATAGACTTCCACCAGGTGTCTCCTATACTCAACTTTGATTTTCCTCCCACTCCTGAGGCCTACATTCATCGAGCTGGCAGGTAGGGCTGTAGGAGTGGATTCAGGTGTGAGTCAGGTGCTGGGGGCTGGCATGTGGTTGCATGGATCAGGGTGTCAGGTGTGCTGGAGGCTGGGATGTAGTTGGGTGAGGGTGTAAGTCAGATGTGCTGAGGCTGGGATGTGGCTGGATGAGGATTTGAGTCAGGTGTGTTGGGGGCTGGCATGTGGGTGAATGGATTCAGGTGACTACAGGCTGGGACATGGGCTAGTGGATTCAGGTGGCTATGGACTGGGATGTGGGCGAGTGGATTAAGGTGGCTATGGACTGGGACGTGGGCGAGAGGATTCAGATGGCTGGGAGCTGGGACAGGGGCAAGTGGATTCAACTGTGCTGTGGGCTAGGACATGGGCGAGCGGATTCAGGTGGCTGCTGCCTGGATTTGGGCGAGTGGATTCAGTTGGCTGGGGCCTGGGACATGGGCGAGTGGATGTAGATGTGAGTCAGGTGTGCTGCAATCTGGGACTTGGGTGAGTGGATTCAGGTGGTTGCAGACGGACTGGAACATGGTTGAATCAGAGCACAGTGTGGGAGATGCCGGCACCTTTTCTCCCCTTACAGGACAGCACGTGCCAACAACCTTGGTGTGGTCTTAACCTTTGTGCTGCCCACAGAGCAGGCCCAGCTAGGCCAGATTGAGGAACTGCTCAGTGGAGGTAAGAGCTGCATTCCCCTGGGTGAGGCTGGGGCTGGCCTTTTGTTGGATGGCAGTGAGGACATATAGGCAGTACAAAGAGCCCCCTTAGCTTCCGTAGTCTCTGCATGGCATGTGTGGCCACATGAGATCCTCATCTTGCCTGATGTAGCAATCACTGCTACAGACTTTTACAGATATTCTCAGGTGGACCAAGCTCCAAAGTGGTCAGAGAATCAGTTCAGTGCTCTGTTTACATATCAGTCATATGAGCAGAAAGGCAGAGGGAAGAGTTCTGAATTGTGGGCTATCTTGAAGAGGCTGGCATTTGTCTGAGGAGCTAGCCTTTGGGAGAGGACTAATGAGTGGGACAAGGTCTGCCTCACGCAGCACTGGAGCATTGCCCTCGTGTGGCACTGGTCGCAGCAGTCCCCTCTTCAGAGTGCATGCTCTCTGGGAGACAGCAGGCAGGTGGTGTCTAGTGGGATAGCTGTCTAGTCGGAACCACTTAGAGCTACCTCCATGGCATTTCTGAGTTTTTTAATTGCATAGGAAATTACCCATCTTTGTCCCGTGGAGCTGTTGGTGGATTTGAACCACCAGAGAGGTATGACCAATTATGACACCAGAACTCCTGTTGAGAAGAAGAAATCTGCATGTGCTTCACATCCTAGATGGTAGGAGAGAGAGCCTTCAGGAACCCTGGCTCCTGGTACCAACTGATGTAACCATAAGGGTCTCGGGTCTCACCTCCTAGTGTGAGTTCTGATACCCGGATGGTACTGAGAAGTGAGGTTGGAGCAGTTAGAGAAGTAGGACCTGACTTTGGGAAGCATTTGTCTGCCTCATTTCTGTGCTTGAGAAGTTGAGACAATGGCAATATGTCCCTGATGATGGGCAGTGGACTGCAGCACATAGTGGATGTGGGGGTCATTCTGGTAGTCACAGGCTGCCTGGTGGTCCCAGAGCAGGGTTAACAGAGGTGGCCCCTTGGGAGAGCCTGTCCTGAATGTCCAGCTTTGATTCCTTGTCCACAGAAAATGGGGCCCCTGTCTTGCTTCCCTACCAGTTCCAGATGGAAGAGATTGAAGGTTTTCGCTACCGCTGTAGGGTGAGTAGGACACGGTGTGAAGAGGGAGTGAGGGGGCCTATTCTCCTAGGGCCCAGGGATGATGCCTTTGCTGGTGATTGCCTTGGGACAGAGGAGGACTAAGCGGCCCCACTGTACTAATGGCCATTTCTGCCCCAGGACGCAATGCGCTCAGTGACTAAACAAGCCATCCGGGAGGCAAGGCTGAAGGAAGTGAAGGAGGAACTACTGCGCTCAGAGAAGCTCAGGGTGAGAAAGAGGCCCAGCCTGCCTGCAGGGCTAGAGCTGAGGACAACGAGAGGGGCAGTAGACACTGCTGGAATGATCAGCCACCTGGCCTTCATGTGCTTTCTGCCAAAAGGACAGTTTGACATGCCCTTTGATCCAGATAGGTGCACTTGTGACTGCCCTCAAAGTCCACGAGTTTTCATGATTTGCCAAATTATGGGACATGCATACAGCCAAATGTTCTTGATGATGGAGCAAACCAGTGGGCTTTTTGTATGTGGAAGAATTTTCAAGATATTGGGAAAGCAGTGTACTGAAAAGCAAGGGTCTGTCATATTTTTTGTGTCATGGTGTATGTGGCTAACCCTTGCATGTACATATATAGTGCATGTGTATCCTTAGAAACAAGGAGCTGCTGCTGGAGTAGCACTGGGTGACTGTAGAGAATGGGTGGAGGATCTTTCCGCAGTATGTCATTTCCTGTGTGTAGAACCTGTGCTAAGAGTGCTGCTGACTGCAGTGGTCCTTTCTCTTCCATATCAGTCGTACTTTGAAGACAACCCCCGGGACCTACAGCTGCTGCGGCATGATCTGCCCCTGCACCCCGCAGTGGTCAAGCCGCACCTGAGTCATGTGCCTGACTATCTGGGTGAGTGCAGTCTTGGCAGGTCTGGAGGGTGCTGAGGGCATTGACAGCTTGCCAGGGTCTATACCACCGTGTGCTGATGCTCAGGGCCTAGGGCTTCTGCAGTCTGTGTGTCCCTGGTTCATGCTGGCCTCAGTGATCCCAGAGGTGGGTGTTGCTGTCTACTGTGATTGTGGGAAGCTGTGGCCCCACATTAAGATCATGTGCGTAGGAAGAAAGAGCTGGGAGAAGGGCCCTCCGGGGGATGCAGAGTTTGCCTGTGGAACAGGAAGGGATGACTTCTTGCTGAAGGTATGAGCATGGTATGAAAGAAGGGAGCACGACCATCAGAAGAGACCAGAGAGGACTAGAGAGAGAAAAAGGAAATGCCAGAGAGCTTGGCAGGGAAAGCTCCCTAGGTGGGAGACAACCAAGGTGGAGGAGTCAGGGAGAGGCCTTTCACCTGGGGAACTCCCATCTTTTGTCAAGCGGTAGTGTGGCCAGTGTGGTGCCGAAGAGCAGGGCTGAGCATCTAAACTGAATGAGATTGGAAACACAGAATGGAGTGAGGCGAGACTGATATGCTGAAGGGCCAACCCATGTGGGAGGTGGTGAAGGCAGGACTAGGGTGTGGGGAGAAGACTTCCTAAAGGGAGGAGAGGCAGGTATCCACCAGGTTGAGGCAGGTAGAATTTGTGGTAATGGGTCACGTTGTTAAGTGCCTTCGAGTGAACATGACTGCTCTATAACTATTGTCAATGGGCCACATAGGAAGTAAATGATACTTTCTTTAAGACAGCTTTTTTTTTTCCTTTTACTGTTACATGCTTATTGCAGTGTGTTTAAGTACTTACTTTGTGCCGTCAAGTAAGAATTAACTTCAAAGCTGACACTCCTGCAGCTTTTCAGAGGCTATAAATCACCCAGGAAGAGATTGCCCGTCTTTATCCCATGGAGCAGCTGGTAAATTTGAACCAGCTGCCTTTGGGGTGGCAGTACAGCTCCTTTTACCAGAGTTCTGTTTAAACTTCTGTGAAGTGTGATTTAGATGTTGGTATTCCCTGTAGTCCTGCCTCTCTGATAAATGGCCATACCCCCTCCTCTGGCTCCAGACATGAGGTATGGGTACTAGTCACATGTGAGGTGCCATCTACGATAGGCGAGGGTCAGCGTGATTGAGAGGGATCATGCTTGCTGAAGAGTGATGAAATAGCTCCCTGTACATTGGGCCTGTGCAGACAGAAGCTGGAGACTGTCAGAGATGGGGTGGGGGTGGAGATAGCACATTGGCTGGCTGCTCCATAGTGCCTTGAGCCAGGGGCAGCCAAGAGGCAGCAGCCGGGAGGGGACACTGATGGTGCTGGGTTCTTCTGAACAGTCACAATGTCTTCCCAGTCCCTCCCACTCTCCGTGGAGTTGTACATCCTCACAAGAAGCGGAAGAGAAAACCTCCCTCCTCCTGGAAGGTGCGTGCATCCACTGTGGACTTAGTCAGAGTCGGCTGCAGTGACTCTTCTCCCTGTTCCTCACTGCTGCTGAGGTGTCGGGCCTTACCTTTAGGGAGGAGGTTGGAGGGAGGTATCAAAAACTGCTCCAAAAAGTCCCAATATGAGACCAGAATGAGGAAGTCTGGGGTCACTTCCTCTTGGTTCCCACAAGCAGGTGTCTGGAACAGAAGAACCAACTTCTCTTTTTCTGTCCCTATTTGCCTGCCCTTCTACTTGTTTCAAATGGAGAACAGTGAAGGGGGCGGGGTGGGGGGACCAGCCCAGGGGTGTGGGAGGAAGATGTCAGGGCGCACAGAGATGATAGATCCACTCTCTTGATGTCTGTTTCCGACTCCCAATTAACACACAGCTTTGCTCTGTAACAGAAGGGAAAGACCCAGAACCCACTGCGCAGCTTCAAGCACTGAGGGCAGAAGCCAAGATCAGCAGTGGTACCCTCCTGAACTTGTGCAGCTCAGCCCTTCAGTTCCTGGGCACCTCGCTGGCTCCTGAGCCTTGCCGAACAGCAGCACCATCTTCAGGATCTACCTGGCCAGTGAGGACTCACTCCCAAAGGCAGGCATGGCAGTGGCCCATAGTGCTACAAGCTAAGACAGAGTGTTTTGCCCTCTTCATGACAAATAGCTGCTCTTTGTGCCTCTGGCATCATGAGAGACCTTGAAACAGAGAGAGCCAGAAGAGCCGACCTTCAGACCTCAGAGCTCAACTTGCTCCCTGCAGTGTCTTGTGCGGTCAGTAGAGGGCAACCTGTGAGGAACAAGGCCCTTGTCCAGAGTTCTTCTGGCTCCTTTTCTCCACCCCGGAGCTTCTGCCCACCTCCTGTGAATTTAGTCAGGATACCACCTAGCTGACAGACACATCCCTCTTTAGGGACTTTGAAATTCTATTCTATCCCCCAAGGAAGAGGTACCCCTAAAGTACATGCAAATGGAATAGGCAGAGTGGCTTGGCTTCAAAAGAGGACTCTCCAGTTCCACTGCACCCTTCCTCAGATGTAGCTACTGGAGCTTTCTCCTATTGCTCTTGTATATGACTCAAGCACATGTATGTATATGTGTGTAATAAACACAGATGTCATCATTGATGCAGGCACACTGTCCTTTTGTTGAATATGTCTGAGTTCTTCAGTTACCTCTTATGGCCCTCCATTGGTGGTTAAGGGTCCAGCCCCAGGCTCTGCTCTTTCAGCTCATCCTTTGCCCTGATGTCCTGAACCTGGACCAGGTGGGGATCTCATGCTGACTCACCGTCTGGACCATGACTCTGCTTATCACCATCATTGCCTGCTGATTAGCTATCTTAAGGCAGGCAGCTGGGTGGGGCAAGTAGGGGAGGAAGAGGTGGGAGAAATGGAGAGTATAGCCTTGAGAAAGACCTGGGCCATCTGAGCCAGTTTACAAAGGAAAAGTAGTGAAATAATGATTTTGGTTAGATAGGGTGTAATTAGCAGGCCTTCATATGTTACCTATTCAATCTGTATGCTGAGCAAATTATCCAAGAAGCTGGACTCTGAGGAGGAGTGTCGTATCAGGATTCGAGGGAGACCTATCAATAACCTGTGTTACACAGATGACACAACCTTACTTGCAGAAAGTGAGGGGGACTTGAAGCACTTGTTGCAGAAGATCAAGGAATGCTGCCTTCGGTATGGATTGCATTACAATGTCAGAAAAAGGAAGATTCTACCATTAAAACGATAGGCAGTGTCACGATGAATGGAAAGGAGATTGAAACTGTCAACAGCTTCATCTTCCTTGGACCCACAATTAACATGCTTGGTATGAGCAGTCAGGAAATAAGGAGACACAATGCACTGGGAAAATCTGCAATTAAAGACCTTTCCAAATTATTGAGGCATAGTGATATCTGAGGACTAACATGCATCTGATTGAGGCCGTATTTTTTTCTGATTATTATCTGTGCATCCGAGACCTGGACAATGAATAAGGATAACAGAAAAAGAATTGACATCTTTGAGCAGTGGTGTTGGAGAAGAGCACTGCGCATCCCAAGAAAACAAACAGATACAGCCAAAGTGCTCTTTGGAGGAGACAAGAATGATGAGGCTTTGCTTCCCATTTTGCTAGGAGGTGCTATTCCTTGGGAAGGACATGATGTTGGAAAGGGTAGAGGGTTGATGAAGGAGAGGAATACCCTCAACCAGGTGATACAGTGACTGTTGTAATGGGCTCTTATATGTTGAGAAATGTGAGGATGGTGCAGGATAGAACAGAGTTCACAGCTTTTGTTCATAGGGTCACTATAAGTCATGCTTGAGTCGACAGCACCTGACAACATATGTTACCTAATCTTAGTATTTTCTAGAAGCTGAAGATCATTCTGGAACAGTAATCAAAAGAATTGGATTTCGAAGAGGCTGTGGTACTAGGGACATTATTACCAATGTATTCAGATGGATATTTGCCAAAAGCAGAGCATACCAGAGGAATGTCTTTGTGTTTCATTGACTATGAAAAGACATTTGACTGCAACAGATTGTGGCTAATGGCTAACCTTGAGAAGAATGAGAATATCAGAGCACTTGATTGTGCTGATGTGAAACCTATACATAGACCAGGAAGCAGAGCAAGGAAATGCTGTGAGGTTCAAAACCAGGACATGGATGTGTCAGGAATGTGTTTGGTCTCCATACCTTTTCAGGTTTTTGTTGTTTTGTGTTTTGTTTTTGTTTTTGTTTTTTTACTATTTTTGTGTGTGTACTGTCAAATCAGATCTGACTGGAACAGGAGGAGCTTGCCCCTCCTTCTCCAGTTTTTATGTGGAACAGATAATTTAGGAGGCTGGACTTGATGAGGGGGATTGTGGCATCAGGTTTGGAGGAAGATTCATCAACAAACTATGCAGATGACACAATCTTGCTTGCTGAAACTGAGGAGGACCTGAGAGGTTTGCTGCAGAAGGTCAAGGAATAAAGTCTTCAATATGGTTTGAAGCTTAATATCAAGAAGACAAAGATTCTCACCAGTGGGCCAATTGGCAGCACCATGATAGATGGAGAAGCGATTGATATTGTTAACAATTTCAGCTTGCTCAGCTCCACAATTAACACTCTTGACATCAGCAGTCAGGAAATAAAAATACAAATTAGGAAAATGTGCTATTAGGGACCTATCCAGAGTGCTGAGAAGCAGTGATGTCAGAGACTAAAGTGCACCCGATTCAGGCCATGGTCTGCAATTTGCTATGCATTGGAGAGCTTGACAGTGACTAAGGATGACAGAAGAAGAATTGATGCCTTTGAATTGTGGTGCTGGAGAAGAGTAATGAACATATGAACTGCTAAGAGAACGAACAGGTCTGTCCTATAGAGGCAGAAGCCAAGATGCTTCTTGGATGTATTTTGAAGCTCCATCTCACATACTTTGGGCATGTTGCTAGGAAAGACCCATCTTTGGAGGAGGATATCATGCTTGGAAGGGTGGAAGGACAGTGCAGGAGAGGAAGACAAAGTAACTGGGGAGTACTGGGGTAGAGAGGTAGTGAGACTGGCTCAAAACAGGACAGAGTTCAAAGCTGTTGTGCATAGTGTCTCTATGAGTTATAGGTGACTGACTGGATTGCATATAACAACAAGGTGAGAATGATGGGAGGGTAAGTGTCCCAGGCACATTGCTGAAGTAAGGTGATATGCCAGTGTTGTGATGTAGGTTTGGTCTCTGGACTTGTTTTTGTGCCCAGGTGTATTATGGGTAAATATTTAATGGAGCTAGAATCATAAAGATAGAAGCTTGGCAATTCTTTACTGGGTTCTGAAAACTGTACTATACCTTTTTATGCTTTTTCAGCCTTAAAATCATTCTTGTTCTGTGACTGGAGACAGGCTCAGAGTCAAGTCAGTGGGGCCAAGTTAGATTACTGTTAGTGCTGGAGCCCAGCTTCTCCCATGCTGTCCTCTGAAGTGGATAATCTAGAACACTGAATGGTCTTAGAGTGTTGCATGCTGGTCCCTAAAGCCAAGTCAGGTGCCAGTCAAGGTCTTGAAGGCCAATATGCTACCCTCCCTCTTAGAATTTCTTGTACTTCTAACCCTGCAGCTTGAGGTCCAATGATTTTCTTCCTTGACTGTGTTTCTAGTTGGGAGTAGCTGAAGTCTGGGCAAGCAGAGGGCTCAGATGTGAAAATGAGCTTAGTTGCCATCTGTTAAATGTGCCAAATCCTCCTTTAAGCTTTTTGTATAAATAATTTAATCTTGCCCTCCTAAAAGCCCTTGGAACAGGCTTTTATCCCCCTTTCAGAGATGAGGGTCCTGAGGCCCCAGCTTCTTCAACGTCACTTATAGTCACCAAGCTGCCCTGAGACTGAGCTGGGTAGGAACTAAACCTTACTGGTACCACTGTCACGGTTTTCCACCCCTCAGGAGCTTCCACAGCCCCCTACCAGGTTTGGCAAGATGCTGTTCTCACCAGCAGTGGACTAACTCATATTAGGGTACTTGACTTCAGTGTGCAGGCACTTTGAAAAGTGGACTGAACTTACTGTGCTCATATTTCCCTCTCTCAAGCCTGACCAAGTCAAAGCACCTGGTGTGGTCTCGTCATCTCTCCTGTATCTGTTTTGTACTTCATCTGTCAACCAGCAATCCCAGACCTGGGACTCAATGTCCCAGATCACTAAGTCCCCACACAGGTCCCGAAGGATACGCATGGTGATCATCTCAGGTCTTTCAAAGTCCAAGCAGTATTTCAAATTCAAAAGCAGGACTGTCTGATAAAGTCTGCCAATAACCTTCTGCTGGTGTGGGCTCGGGCAGGTCCAGTAAGTATGAACAGGTGAAGGGTAGGCCTTGTGAAACAGGCTGACCAGGAACAGGCAATGCACATGGCCTCTGAGTCTGGAAGGAGAGGCAAATCAGAGACCATCGAGACCACCATTTTGACTTTTAAGATTTCCATCCACTTAATGGGTCATCTAGAAATCTCAAATCTGAGTGAGGGCTGATGTTTCCTCTAAGTCAGGGCAAGATGTGGAAATCCCACTGACTCCTGTACTGGGGCTATTGTGTTCTGGGATGTGTGTTAGGACCCGGGAACCAAATGTTGGGAGGGCCTCCTTGTGTACCCGGGAACCAAATGTTGGGAGGGCCTCCTTGTGTACCCCGGCCTCTTATTTCTGCACTTTGACCACAAAGGTTCTATGCATCTGGCCAGTATTTTTTGAGGGCTATCAACTCCTGCAGCAATGGGTTAGCCCATGAGTAAAAAGTGGTGATGGGCGGGGTGAATATGAGGATGGCCCTTGGATCCCAGCACAGATGTGAGGTGCGGGGGATATGTGTGGACTTCATTAGTGGGATCTGGGGTAGGAGAAAGCCTATTTGGGAACAAACACTAAGATGTATGGAGAGGCTTAAATATCAATTTGGTTGGTTTTTTAAAAGATAAATATATTCCCATATTTTGTCTGAGTCAAGAGATAAAAGAAG